TCATCCCTGGCACGAAGTTTGATTTCCCATCAGTTACCCTCGGTGGCATAGCACAGGGACTCCCCTCTCTGTTTGTACTTGAAAACAGCCTGTTAGATTATGACTTGACAAACTTGTCAGCTCATAGTAGTGAGTAGAAACTAGCCCATTCTCCGCTGTGAGGTCCAGTCTAGTTTGGGGGGACCCCGTCTCTCACTGCCGGAGCCCATAAGGTATCAAAACTCGATTAGGATAGCTCCCGTTTTGGGGGGCTTGTTTTGTTTTTTTTTTTTTCTCTCAGTGAAATCACTCTGCTAAAAGGTAAAAATTGCCATTTCAGGACCCTGGAGATGCAGCCCAACAGGAAGCAAAGCACAGGTATGGGTTGGAGCTCAGAACTTTACCAAGGGTGGTTTTACCAATTGGTTGCCTTTTTTTTTTTTTTTTAACTTGAGTTGTTTTACAAGTGTGTGAATCTTAGTTTTTTCCTGGCAGTGATTTTTCTATGAATCATCCGGATAATTTATTAAATAAACACGTGGTGCCCCCCATTTCTTTGCTTATTTCTCTGCAAAATAGTTACTGTAAAAACAGCAGAGTAAGAACTACTTGATTGGGTAGGGTTCCTTGGGTCAAGTGCTTGACATTTAGTAAATGCTCAATAAATAGTAACTAGCATACGAATCTTACTGTTATTTTATCCCAGCACATAGCAGAGCACCTCACACATTAGTGAGATAAATACCTGGTTGCTCCATGCTGCGTTTTTCCCCTAATTGTGATTGAGAGAAACAAACACATGGACTTAACCAGTGTCCAGTGAGGTAGTAATTGTATTTTCATGCAGCAGATTTCTGGAGCTTTTCCACCTTGCAGACCTGAAACTACACCAGCGGAATGATTCCTCCTTCCCCTCCCCCATCATGCTACCACTTGGCAAGTTCGTTTAGCAAATATTTGAGTACCTGTTCTGGGTCAGGCATTCTGCAGGGTCTGCAGGAATAGGTGAGGCAGAGAAGGCTCCTGCCTTTGCAGCGCACATTAGAGGGACAAGACAAACAGTATCCAGTCGTTTGTGCCAGGGAGAAAATGAATTCCATTGATTCTAAGCTGTAACTTTCTATGTGTCATAGTTGATCCCTTTTATCCTGACTTTTTCAGAGAGGATTCACTTTTGCTTCTGCTGTCACTTGGCGGCCTCCTAAAATTCACTGTTGGGGGGGCCCCCTGCCTCCACCCTGGTGTGAAGGCAGACAGCAGACCTCCCAGGGCCACAGTGGAGCACACGTGCCTTCTTGTCTGCATGGCAGGTTTATGTCTTCTTCATCACTTTGAGTGGCCTCTCGTGTTAGGCCTTCCTCTGGGTGATTCCTTGTTCTTAGAGATACATAGAACTAGGGTGCGTTTATAACCTATGGCATCTCAGATGGAAGTGCAGTGCTCTGGACTAAGGAGGAAACACCTGAGGAGTGGGCTTCAGGCTGTGTGCTGTGAGCACCAGACGTCTCAGATGGCAGCTCGTAGGCACAGCCAGCTTCTCTTCCCCCACCATTTTAGAATCTGCTTTTGTCTATGTGGTGTGTGAAGTTTCTGGAAGGGCATCATAAAAAAAATGCTTAACGGTTCAAAGGAATTGCCTTACGACCACGAACTAGTTCTCACTTGGGTAGGCTGGAGACTGCAGGGAGAGCTGTAGTCAGTTTCTGTCTCCCTCGCCCACCTGAAAACATAGAAGAATCCCGAAACACAGATGTGGTTCTAGCTTAGACTCAGACACCTGTCTCTTCAGTGTTCCCGCTGGGTCTCAGCTTCCTCATCTCTCATCACAGAGATGAATTGCTTGGTCCTTCTCATTGCCTGAGCTCTCACTCTACAGTTCTAGAACCTCTCACAGAGTATCTAGTAAGCACTGGTAATGGTGGTGGAGCTGGGACTCCAGCTTGAATTATGAAAATACAAAGCTTTCTACCTTTCCACTTGGCAGGCTCTAATGTGAAGCTGGTTTGGGGGGGGGCAGGTGGGCTTCTCTGTTTGTTTCCCCTGCTCCCCAGCGCATCTGTGTGCCAGGTGGGTCTCCCTCTTGCAGTGTGTTGGGAGAGCTGTGTTTCTGTCTATTGCACAGGACTGCTGGCTGCTTGCTTCTAATTTTGCTTGACCTGTTTTTGTTGTAGGGAAGCAGAAATGAGAAACAGTATCTTGGCCCAAGTTCTGGACCAGTCAGCGCGGGCACGGTGTAAGCGTCTTCAGTTTCCTTTAAATTATTTCCATCAAATGCTGCTATCTCTGTAATAAATAGTTGTATCAAAAAAGCTTGAGCTTCACAATATTTATAAAGAGTGTGATGCTACAAACTTTCAAGTACTTTAGTCACTATTGCAAGTAGCAGCTTGGTCCTTAGCAAGGAGATGATCTCCAAGCACAAAGCAGGTAAAATTTATAGGTGACAGCTTTCAGTCAGGGAGGTCACGCATTGCTGGTAGTTGCTGCGGGTGAGCGCAACTCAGGGGTTTATTGCATTCTTGATTTTAATGTCTATTCATAGTTTTGCATAATAAAAACCAACGAGAAAACCCTGTTTAAAAAAAAATGAAATGAAGCCAGTCAGAATGAACTAGTGTGTTCTGTACCATAACCTGAAGCCCAGTCCAGGAGAGGGAGCCTTGGATGAAGGGCCCCAGATATATGTGAGCAGCAGCATATAGACTGGCTGCCAGAGGGCAACTCTACGTTAAAAAATAGATATGGGGAGCCCTCCCTGGTGGCGCAGCGGGTTACAGCACAGCACTAAGAAGCCACTTCAGCATGTGTTCGATCCCCGCCCCCGAGGTGACCCAGAGGGCTCAGCAGACCTCTCCTGACCCACCCGCTGCTCCCCTCAGCAGTGGACTCCATCAGTCGGCCTGTTCTGCTCCCCGCTCTGTCTCTGGTGAATCCTCTCACCACCCCTGCACCTCTGGCTGTACCCCAGTTCTGTATGCATAAATCAGTAAATCTTTAAAAAAAAAAAATGGTATGGAACTTAGACTCTGAGGGCTTGGTCCTCTGTGTAGCCTGGACTGAGAACGACATGGCTGAACTTGGGGTTCATTTTTAAGAGGGTTCCAGTACTACGTGCCCTACTTCCTTCCCTCCGCCTCACGCAGTCTGTGAAATGCTTTGCATATGTTTAAGGTATAATGTATGCATTTAGATTTGATAACTTTTGTATGTTTTTTCTTTTCAGTGAGTAATTTAGCACTTGTAAAGCCTGAAAAAACTAAAGCTGTAGAAAACTACCTTATACAGCGGGCAAGATACGGGCAACTGAGTGGAAAGGTAAGCTGGGGCTGCCTCGGGGCAGCTTTACCTTGTGTTACCTGCTGCACCAGAACCTGCCTTCACAAGGCCAATTTCACCTTGCGGTTATGGGATTCTCGTTGACTCTGAAGTATTTTTAAACAGGAGGCTAGTCCTATATATCGTAAATACTGAAGGGCAACAAATTGCCTTTAAGCCCTCCACCGCTTTCTCCTCCTGGACATAGCCATGGAACTTTGTGGTGTCTCTGTGACCCCTGCCTGTCATGTCGGCTAGCAGAACTTGCTTCCACACTGGCAGCACTGCAAGTGAGAAGTGGAGCGGCTTTGAGTGAGAGGCGGTAAAAGCCCTTGCTTGGCGCGTGGCTGCTTCTGTGCTGCAGTGCCGGGCACCAGCGGCCGGGCCTTCGCCAAGCTGCCCATCTGCATGGCGGCTTCCGCCGCCACAGCCCACAGGCCCAGTCCTGCCCGAACCCCTTGTTCCAAGAACATATGTGTGGCAGAGACGCCAGGGCTTCCTTTGTGTGACTCGTGTCTCCTGCATGCTCGCTTCTCGGGGTGCTGCGTCTTTACCCCTCACACCGAACACAGGTTTTTCTGCGGAGGCTAGTAGATGGAAACTTCTCCCTGCCCTCCTCACGTGAGGCTCACCAAGCATTGGCATTATGACAGGTCATCACGAGCAGTAGGCCCGACCTCCCGCCCCGTAGCTTTCCCGTGCCTCAAAAGGCCCTGAAACGAAACAGTTCAGTCTGCTGGGGACAGTTGTCTCAAAAGTTCTTTTTTCTTTCCGGCTGTTCTAGGTATCAGAACAAGGTTTAATAGAAATCCTCGAAAAAGTAAGCCAACAGACAGAAAAGAAGACAACAGTTAAGGTAAGTTTCCTCAATGCACACGGCAAGAAAAACAAACCGTTTTAGGCGATGTATCGACTGCACCCCGCTGCTGCGGACATCCTCAGTCCGCAGGTGGCTCCTGTGAGGCACCGAGTGTCTGAGGAGAAGGGCTGCGTGCCTGGCGGGCTCTGGTTTTTATGGCTTTTCTGCCCCTGTCCCCTTACATCTAAAACACTGGGTTTTTTAGGGAGACAATAAATGTCTTGCTAACGATAGTAGGTAGAAATTTTTCTTCTGGAAAGTTTGAATTACACTTTAGTAAACATGATACTTATTTAATTCCCCCCCAGTTCAACAGAAGAAAAGTAATGGACTCTGATGAAGATGACGATTACTGAATTTATAATGTTTAGAGACTGGAACTTAATGGAACAATTCTAGGACAGATAACTGCTTGGCAGAAGTTGAGACCTGACTGAATGTTCACTTTGTTTACTGTCTATATGCCTTTAAAAAAATAAAACTTGTTACTCAGAACAGCAAGTTGGACAAAGTTCTTTTAGTACCATGGCCAAAGGAACAGCAAGTCTGCATTTCAGTGTTTCCCCCTTTCCTACCAAAAGCTCCTCAATCTGCAGAGCAGCCTGGACACACCTGTCCTGCAGTGAGGTGCCCGTGCTCAGTGGCCGGAACTAAGCCTGAGCAGGCGAGGCCAGCGCCTCGCGCCGTGCAGGCTCTGAGAGCCGGGGCACTTACTGCTGCAGGTCGCACTCGGGGTAAGACCCCGCCGAGCTCTGGCTTCGTTTGTAGTCTGCTCTTAAAAGGCTAAAGAGACCAAATTAGATAGTAGACCCCCTCTGTATCAAGGTGATACGTCATTAACTGGGAGAGACTGGTTGGTACCGCAAGAAAAATGTGAGCTGTCAGCTTCCCCCTGAAATGCAGTGAGTTTAGCATTTTGATATGCGTGTCCTGGGGCTTCATGGATGAAGTTACAGGTAATTTAGAGCAAATGTCATCTCCTAGATTGTGCTTTACTCCCACTAGGGTGTGAAAACTCATAAGTTTAAATCCAAGTGAAATGAGCTGTTAGGTGTCACCCTTGATACATCGGGGACCAGATCGGGGGACAGGGCTAACACTTCACGAGTCGTGTCGGGCTCGGCTTTAGCGGGCGTGCTGCTGACAGACATTTAAACTACGGGGGGGATTTTACCGTATTAGAGATGAAATTTTTGTAAAGCACCTGGTCGACTAGACAAAAGCCAGTGAGAGTGTCTGGAATTCCAACAAATCAGCAGAACTATTGAGCATATGAGAGAAATTTGAAGGAATTACAAAGAGTAAAGGACTAGGGGAAGCCCGGTCGTAAACTTTGCTTTAGGTAGCATTTACGTCACGCTGCCTCCTGTCAAACAGCCGCTGCCTTCTCGGCATCTGCTAACATGAGTGGAGACCCGGGTTCCCGTCCTTCAGCGATTCTTGGGAAGGGAGAGGGGCTCACTCTGGAGGGCAGCGGGGACGTGGGGCCTGGGGTGGGGAGAGATTAAAGTTTCTAAAGTTTCTAATTTGACTGATGGTACTTTTAGTTCAAGACATTCTTACACAATTCAGGCGTTACCAGCTTCTCAGCCTAAAATGTTTTTAAGTAAGCTCGGCTTGCAGAAAAACATGTTAAAAATAATTGAGGTATAATCACTTCAGATGGCTTGCTCTGCTGATTACCAGGACAGCTCAAGAGGAAACACTTCCCCTCGCTTTGACAGTCCTACTCATAGGGCTTGTGGGGTGAAGGGCACCCCAAGCTGGGAGCTGAGTTCAAGACCCACTTGACATGGCCAGTTGGATTCGGCTTCAGCTCAAGCACACTGGCCCTCAGTTCTCTGCACCTGTCTTCCTCACTGAAAGTCCTGCCTGCCAAGACAATTGTTAGAACTAGACACACACAAATGTTTTCAAAATAATACTGCAGCCCTCCAAAAGTTAGGTGGTATCAGTGTGAATTTGCATGTTGGAGGTGCTGTGATAAAGGTTTATTGGTTAATCTGGGTGGTGGGAAACCACCTCAGGTTGTCTTTGAAAATGCGGGTAAGAAGAAGAAATAAATCAGAACAAAGAAATTCACAGAGCCCTGTGCTCGTCTCCTATTCAGGCTAGGACTACATCGTTGTCTTATTTGGTTTTAATTTTAAAAGATCATTTTTGTGGGCCCTAAACACTTCTCTGTTCTCGGCAATCAAGTTGACGTGTTTCAGTCAGTCGTGTCTGTAGAGATGACGTGTAGCCAGTGGGGGAGTGTTCACACACGGCACGTGTTCGGAGGTGTGAGGAACGCCTCCCCCAGTAAAACCTGAGCCGAAATGGCAAACAGACCAGACACTCAAGAATCATAAAGTTTACTGCTGCTTTTCCATCATTTGGCACATATCCAAGGCACATTAGAAAATTAGAAATTATAAATTACTTTGTAGAAAAATAATGGGCCCCTCCCTCCTGTACACACACAAGTATCTCCAAGAACGAGCACGAGACCATTCCTTCTGACAGAGCCATTTGGAAGTGTCCTCAGGACAAACCCACGTCTGCAGCTCTAGGCCAATTAGTAACATAAAAAAATAACAGTAGAATCTGTAGAAATTTATAAAAAGGAAGAAATGGCAATAAATTCTAACTTAAAGCAACTGGGACCTGGCTTGTGCTGTAAGTTTGGGATCTGAAGCAAGAGATAAGAAAAGATGTGCCAAATCTCTCTAGTTCAGTAACCTTCCTCAGGGTGACATCGAAGGGAGGCTCGTAACGGAAGGGAGGTTTCCGGAGACACTGCAACAGGTGCACGTGGGGGGGGATCTGTGCTCGGTGGGCAGAGTTAACCCTAGTTTCCCACATGTGCAGTGTGGAGCTAGGCTAGTTCATTCTCTAGAATAAACTTCACAAGGGCATTTAGGCATCTTTGGGTTCAAGTGTTGCTTTGCGAAGGAATATTCTCCAGTTCCTGTCTTCACGCCTTTGTGCACGTCTGCCCGGCTCGGTACCTGCAGCCTGGACTGCGGCGGCTCTCAGTGTTTCCCAGGGTGGGGAGCCCTAGCTTGCTGATCTACACACAGGGCTGGGGGTGGGGACCTAGCACCTTTCAGGGGGAGGTCAACCTGGTGATGGCACCTCTCACCGTAACCAAGGAAACCTAACACTTGAAACACCCGGCCTTCAGTGACAGGACACCACGGGACTTTTTGTCCCTTTTTAAGTGTGTTCGTTAACTTGAAGACAGAAGAGATGGTGGTCAGTTTTCCGTTGCTGGCTGTCTTTTTCCTCGGCCTAGGAAAGCTTTCAGGAACTTTCTGCTTTGCTTTCCAGCCAGTTGTCTGAAGGGACATTTTGTCCTCAGCCGTGCTCATGCCCAGCATCCTGTCGAGCACTCATTTCTTGGCAGCAAATGGAATGTTCCTTATCGCTGTTCAGACTGGGAAAGACCAGCCTCGTGGGGTGCGGGGAAGCTGCCAGCCCGCTCTGGGCCCTGGGCCACCGTGTCGCTGGCATCCCCGACAGTGTGTCTCCGCAGCATTCGCCGGCTTCCGGGAGCGCTGTGCTGCTTCCACCCAGACCCCTCAGGCTGGTCTCCATGGCCCTGGTCAGCAGTCTGAGAGCTGCTCTGGCCTGGCGGCGGCTTCTGTGTCAGTGTGCCTTTGGGTCGCCTTGGCTAAAGAAAAGGGACCATTTAAGCACTTCACGTTGGCACTGCATAAAACACCTCCACAAATAACAGCTCCCCTCAATGGACCTACCATATGACTCAGTAATTCCACTCCCGGGAGTCTACCATATGACTCAGTAATTCCACTCCCGGGAGTCTACCCAAAGGTCACAAAATCATTTGAGACAGGAGACCTGCACTCCTGTCTACTGCAGCACTATTTACAATAGCCAAGACATGACAACAATCTAAATGACCCCAAACAGATGGCTGGATCAAGAAGACGTGGACTAGATGCACAGTGGAATACTACCCAGCCATCAAAAAGACAAACTCATGCCACAACGTAGGTGGTGCTGGAAGGAATTATATTCCATGAAATAGGTGTTTACTGTGATTTTGATTCTAAAAAGCCAGACTTTAAAAAGATGGCTGTAAGCCAGTGTTTAATAACTCACCTCGTGCAAAGAATCTTCCATTAAGTTAGGGACACTTCTATCTCTTGCCGTAAGCTCCCTTGAAGTTCTTCCCCTAAAACCCCAAAAAAAGGGAGTATTTGGGCAAGTGGTATGAAACATTCTGGCCACAAGGTGGCAGCATTTGGTGCACACAGATCTGCCTAGAACTCATTAAAGGAGCACATAACCCTGCTTCCATTCTAAGTAAATGTTGGGTCAAAAGCACAGAAATCAACTGGAATTTTATACTCACTTCAGTTGACCAACTGGTTGGACAAAATAAAACTGTCTTGTAAAAGGTTCATTTGGTAGATCATATATTTTTGAGTTCCCTGTAGACAAAAGGATAAAGGTCTCAAAACTTTCAGAACTGCCTAGGAATTGCTTTAAAGTTATAGCATTTTCCATTTTCTTAACAATATTTAGGGACTTAAGCATTGAATTTAAGGAACTATGTTAGTACAGTTCTACTACGTAAAGCCCTGTGAAACAAAGCTGATTTTTTCCCACAGCTAATTATGTCTGTGTAAGGATCATTGGAGCTGTAGGATGGATCGATTCACATCACTGTACTCCAACTCGTAGGCCCCTGTAACAACCTCTAAGTAAAGAAGGAAATATTTTAGGCCAACTTGGTAACTGCTATTCTTATTACCTGCACAGTTAAAACATTTTTGAAGGTATGCCCAGGAATACTTAAAAAAGGCCTGGGTTTAGAACGTGAAGTATAAAGAAACTACCAGTGTGGTTTCTCTTCTCCAGCTTGGTAGAGGCCTGAACTTCAAGGCAACAACACACAGCCAACTAGAAAACTGGCGTCAAAAACTGGCAGCTCAGGGGTTAAAGTCTCAGCACTCTGAAGCTATCACCAGTCAGTGAAGCCTGAGTTCAGTCCCCACCAGGGAGTGACCCACAGGGCGCAGCAGGCCTCTCCTGGTTCCCCACGGCTCCCCTCAGCAGTGGATTTCAGTCAATCCACCTGTCTGCTCCCCACTCTTTCTCCTGGTGAATCCTCTCACTCCCCCGCACCTCTGGCCTGTATCTCCATCCTTGTATGCATAAATAAATAAAAATCAATCTTTAAATAGAGAACACAGCTGCTAGGCTGTATTAATAACCCATTTCCTTGGGCCTGTATTTCCCTCCGCCGTTACGGTTATGTTTACATTTTACATTTACAGTCAAATGAGAGTCCACACTCGAGAACTTCCAAATAAACCCAGGCCGAGAACTGCAGAAAGTATGCCCTTACACTTTTTCCTGATCTTAACAGTGACATACTCCTTGGGGTCCGCTCCACCAGTGTCATCCAGGGTGGCCACACAGCTCGGCACCACCTGAAGTAATTCCATTATTTTTGAATCCTACAGTTTGAAAGGGGGAAGATAACAGATACTTTTTATTCTTGTTGAGGTTATGACCTGTTTTGATGTAAATGTGAAGACGCAGCTACAGACAGGACACTGGGCAGTGGGGAGCAGAGTCTTGGGGCGGCCCTGGCTGGGGCTCCCTAGATGTCCCGGGCCAAGGACATCACTGCTGTCTATAAGGGGGTTGACAGTCACAGGCTCAGCCATACTGTACAGTTACGGGGTTACTGAGCAAACGGCATCCATCACTATGGTCATGTGAGAAAGAAGTAGTAGGCTGAGAGCTGAAAATAGTTCAATTCTGAAATTACGAAAAATCATGGTTAATACACTAAGTCTGTGAGTAGGCTGGATGGACGGTGAGCTGAGTGACAGTGGTGTCCAGCAGAGCTTCCTGACTGCCTACCTAATTAGAAAACTGAACCTGGGCCGGGGCCACCTTTTCCCCAGAAGAAGGGACTCTTCCTCATCACTCCTCCCTGACGAACATTCTCAGAAGTGGGTGCGCTGAACTGGCCATCACAAGCCCTACAGAACCCAAGGTGTTTTGAAGCTGCTGACTGAGCCCACTTTCCCCATGGTGCTGCTGAGACCCCCGATGCACCCCCAGTGCCAGGAGCGTGAAGCCAGGATGTGTCTGAGCTGCCTGCTGCGCAGTGAACAGGCGGCTCAGCTGGGGCCGGCTCAAGTGCCAGGACCTCCGCAGACGTGCGAGGGTGGGGGTGCCGGGGCCTCCGCAGACGCCCTGGAAGGCCGGTCCCAGCTGGGCGGGCGGCTGAGCAGCGAGCAAGGACCGGGCAGCTAGCTGACCACACTGGGGAGCTTCCCTGGTGGCCTGGGGCTAAGTCCCAGCGCCACCGCCTCTATGGCCGGAGTTCGATCCCCGGCCAGGGAGGGACCCACAGGCGCAACAGGCCTCTCCTGCCCCCCCCCCCCCAGCAGTGGGTTTCAGTCGATCCACCTGTTCTGCTCCCCACTCTGGTGAATCCTCTCACACCCCCTCACCTCCAGCCCACACCCCACTGCTTCTACGCAAAAAATGAAAAGTGAATAGTAACCACGCTTGGAGACGTGCGGTGCTCAGCCCCGCAGACAGCGGGTCCACGGGCTGGCGGCGCTACCGGTTAAACCCCGGCGCGGAGTGAGCTCTGACGGCGCCGCTCACCGGGTCGGCGCAGTCCACGGCCGTGCGCTGCCGCTTGTTGAGCACCTGGACGGACGCCCCGTGAAGCAGCAGCAGCTCCACCACGAAGACGTGCCTGCTGGTCACAGCCTCGTGCAGGGCGGTGTTGCCCTTGTTGTTAGTGGCGTTGACGGCGGCCCCGTGCTAGAAAGAGAAGGACGCAGAAGCCCCGTGCAGGGAGCGCTGGGAGCCCACGGGCCGCTCCCGGCGCCGGCCTCACCTGCAGCAGCAACGCGGCCACTTCGTGGTGGCCCCCGGCGCAGGCGTAGATGAGGGGCGTGTTCCCCCGGCCATCCTTCTTGTCGGGCTTCGCGTTGGATTCTAGAAGGCCCTTCACCACCTACCGGGAAGGAAGGCCGTCAGTGCAACTGGAACTTGCAAGGAGAGTCCTCCACCTTGGCGTCCTTTGGCGTTTTCTGTACGTTGACTGACAGCCCCCCATGGACACGCGTCAGGGCCTGGGGAGGCGAAGGGGGGTCCCCATGGAGGGGCTGCTCTGTGCCAGGCTGTGAGCAGGCGCGCGTGTTTTGCATGCCATCATTTCTCTGCCCTGTGGAGAACTGGCCTACTGCTCCACTTGTACAGCTCAGGGAGCCGATGCTTGGAGCACAGAGCCAGGCCTGGGAGGGGGGAGCCTGCTGATCCTGTTCCGGTCTGAAAAGCTGACAGTGGAGCCAGTAGTGGAAAGACAGATGTGGAGATTATCATGCTCAAAAAGAAAAACAGACAACTTTTAAAATGTCGTTCTTGAGCCTCTTCTGGAATAGGCCCGATTCCACGCAGCCCGAGGGCCGTGTGGGAGTGGAGTGCCGAGCCTCAGGAACCCCCACACAAGCCCCAGCGGGGGCCCAGTCAGAGCAAGCGCCTCCGAGCCACCGGACGTGAGCTGCAGTGGGGAAGGGCAGACGCACCCCTAAGCCCTGGCGCCCTAAGCTCTGCTGTGGAGCAGTGGACAACTCAGAAGCCCAGGGCTGGCAGCAAGGAAACAGGCGAGTGCCAAGCCCTCGCCTGCTCTGCAGCCTTCCTCCACGCGAGCTTTGAAGCAAAAGCAGCACCTGCAAGCTCGCTCTCAGAGAGACAGACCGTACCTGAAAGTGGCCCCGCTGGCAGGCCAGGTGGAGGGGGACGGCGTGGGCCGCGTTTCTGGCGGCCGCACTGGCACCGTGCTTCAACAGGAGGGGGATGAGGTCTGCCCGCCCGTGCAGGGCAGCGACGTGCAGTGGGGAGGAGCCCTCCTGGTTGGTCACATTCACGCTGAGCCCACTGGCAGGAATCTTTGCCAGCTTCTGTAAGAGCAGGAGGTGGAAATGGTAGAGCTTTTAGTATTTAAGAAGCCTAGAGAACGCCATCTGTCCTGACGGCCTCTGGGCAAGATTTGGGATCACAAGGGGAGCCAGATGGGGTTTGCCCACCAGCGAATTCCCTACTTATCAAGGCATCGTGTACCAAAGGCTTAATCCCCATCTTCAAGAAGGCAGGTCCCGGTAAAATGGTGCCCCGTGACCCCAGAGCAACTCAGTGGGGGAGTGAGTCTGTCCAACAAGTAGAGCTCACTTGCGGGAAACCGCACAGCAGCCCTTACCTCACACCACACACAAAATACAAGCATGGACCTAGCACAGAAGTGGCAGCTTCAAAACTTCTGGTCATTTTCTCACACTCACAGCTCATGAGTTATAATACGAAACTGAATGACACATTAAAATATCTGCTGAATTTATCGAAGAAAGTCCTTATCTTCCCAGACTTAAAACCCTTCATTTTCTTTGTTACTGTAATGTCTCAGAAAGACAACTTGCGTAAGGGAAGACTGTGCCCTCCCCCACCTCCAGCCAGCGGAAGCACAGCCAAACCTTTTGGGCTGGAGCACACTTCGGGCACTGGCACAGGGGGTGACAAAACTCAAGATCTGTTGCACTGACTGACTCTTCGGTGTCATCCAGGTCCTCTTCTGTCCACTCCAAAAGGTAACGCACCTGGTGGTGGACAAAAAGAAACAAAACTCATCTCAGCACCTTTATAAGCTATAGAACTGTAAATGAGTGTACACAAACATACACACTCACACACACACACCGCCTGCTTCCAAATAAGGGCTGACACTTCCTTAAACCACCAAAGTACTTGGAAAAGACTGAAGCTCCTTCACAAAGATTTCAGGGTGCTCAAGCCTTTCTGAATCCTCTTCTTGGGGACAGAGGCTAAGCCACCATTTCTGAGGCTCAGGTTAAAAATTCTCTTTTTGGTTCTCTCTGGTGGTGCAGTGGGTTGGAGCACAGCACTGTGAAGCTGGCCGTGGCCACTTAAGTGCGAGTTTGATCCCCGGCCCGGGAGCTGACCCACATGGTGCAGCAGCCCTCTCCTGTCTCGCCTGCTGCTCCCCTCAGCAGTGGATTTCAGCCCATCTGCCTGTCCTGCGCCCCACTCTGTCTCTGGTGAATCCTCACACCGCCCCTGCATGTCTGGCCTGCACCCCAGTTCTTTACGCACGAATAAGTGAATAAACCTTTAAAAAGAAATTCTCTTCTCTTAAAAAGGGAGAAGCAGGTGCTGCTTCAGGATGCAGATTTAAAGCCCCAGCCCTAGAGCACTTAGTGACAGCCTCCTCTTCTTGTCTATCTGCACTTTCAACAGCAGTCTCTCCTTCCCCCCCTGCGAGGAAAGTCACTCAGAAGAGCCAACAGCTTGCTCAAGGCCACATAACTAGTAAGTGGTAGAGAGAGACCACTTCACCTGTGAGAACAGCCCAGAAAATAAAAGCAAAAAACCAGGCCTCTGTGGTGGCACAGGGCTTAAAGATGGTGCTACCAAGCTACCTGTAGCCACTGAGGCCTGAGTTCAATCCCTGGCCAGGGACGGGACCCACAGGGCACACAGGCCTCTCCTGTCTCCCCGCTGCTCCCCTCAGCAGGGTATTTCAGTAGATCTGCCTGTTCTGCTCCCCACTCTGTGTGTGGTGCATCCTCTCACCCCCTGCACCTCCAGCCTACACGCCAGTGCTTGTATGCATAAATAAACAAACCTTTAAAAACAAACAAACAAACAAACCAGAAACAAATGTTGGTGAGGATGTGGAGAAAAACAGAACTCTGTACCCCGCTGGTGGGAATGTGGACTGGTCCGTTTTCTATGGAAAACGGTATGGCGGCTTCTCAAAACCCCCAGGACACAGCTAGGGTGCTACCCAGTGACCCCCTCCTCGGTGTCTACCTGAGGAATGCAGAACACTACTTTGAGAGACAGATGCAGTGCTGTGTTCACTGCAGCTCCGTTTACAGCAGCTGCGTTACGGAGGCAGCCTCAGAGCTGAGGACGGGGGGACCGCGAAGACACAGACACACACTGTGGGATCCTCCTCGGCTATGACAACAGGTGACAACAGGGAGGAACTGAGCCCGTTGTACTCAATGAAGAAGGTCAGAAGGAGGAAAGCAAATACCGAGTGGTGTCACTTCCGTGTGGAATACGGAGAAGTAAAACAAAGGGTCAGATAAAACCAAACCAGTAACAAGTCCCAGGTGTCTGAGTGCGTAACTGAGGAGGCGGCGAGGAGGGGGGGTGGGGGGGGGGGGGGGGTCGGGATGCTACGCGGGACTGGAGGCGGTGCGGTGACAGACTCCTGCAGGGTGTGGTCCTGTATCTCCCCAGCAGGACGTCCCAGCCCACAGGCAAAAAGCACTGGCCAGACCCCAACAGGTCAAATCAGTGTTCGATAAAGGCAAACTTCTACGCTATTAGAGAAAAGAAAAGAACACAGATACATCCCCAACGTGCGTCGAAGCACAGAGGGAGTCAGCAAACGCCTGCAACGGGCAGAGGGCTCGGGGGTCCCTGCCCCTCTCACCACAGGCGGGGCAAGGAGTGAAGAGCATCAGCAGGAGCCCAGGGCAGGTGTCCGGGCTGGGGCAGGAGGCGCCCCTCAGGCAGTTCAGGTGGTGACCCCAGGTTCACCTGCCGCACGAGCGGCCTCAGCCCTTGTCTGCCGCGGAAGGAGGAGCGCGTGTTCACGACAGGACAAGCGTCACGCCCCACGCAGGCTCTGCCGGCACGTGGAGCCGTGGCCTGCCCCAGGGGAGCTGGGTCCGTCTGAAGGGCGACGAGGGGCCCTGGGCAGAAGCCGCTGCGTGACAACCACACTGGGTTCCGGATCCCCCTGGATTCCGTCAAGATCAACAGTGCAAAGCGCTCTCACAGCCGCAGCCTGAGGCTCGGGAGCGCGATCTACTCAGAGCCCCCGTCCGGGAAAGCCCCCAACGTACGCCCCCTTCACAGCGAAGATGAGCAAGTCCCTTCCAGGCAGTCGAAGGCGGGGCTGGGCGCTGCCCGTGGGGATCTGACTGGGCCACCGACTCTCAGAGACCGCATGGAGGACGTTCCCTGTCCCCCCACCACCAGCGGGGGGTCGGGACAGACCCCTTCTCTCCTGCCAGACTGGCTGCTCTCGCCCTGCCCCCGAAGAGCAGCCGGGGCTTCTGCCCTGGACCCCGCCTGTCCCGACGCCTCCATGGAGTCTGAACCTGGGGTCACAGCTGTCCCCAGCTTCCACAGGGCCACACCAGTGTCCTATCACCATGCTCCCCTCTTGCTGAGCCTGGACATGGGCAGGTTCCTGCGGTCGCCTCGCCTGGAACAGCAGGCTCTAAGAGGCGGGGCGGGCCCACGGGGCGCAGGGCCACCGGCTCGTGACCCCGAGAGTAATAAATGCACCCCACGTGCAGGCGAGCAAGGCCCCCACATGGCCCTACATGAGCTGGAGGCGGGAGCCGCGGGGACAGCCGGAGACGCCGGGCGCGGTCTGCAAAGGCCGGTGCACACACTCACCATTTCCAGATCTCCGTCAGCCACTGCTCTTAGAAGTTTTTCTACCTTCATAAAAGAATCAAGGATGTTAGCACAGTGATTGTAGAAATAAAATGATCACATCACAAAAGCAACAGTTGGTTCATGCTGACGGGGGGAGCCCTGACATTTCCCACTCGGGTCTCACACACCCCTAGAACTGCTCAGACGGGACTCCCCGGGGTGCGCAGGCCGCGGACCTGACCCGCCACCGAGGGGCCCTTAAAACACCGCCGCCTTTTACGGCTGAGCCCCGGAAGTCACCGGAAGCAAGGCCAGCGCCCCACAGTTGACACTTGTGACCCAGGTCTCTGCCTCGGGAGGGGCCTCCAGGTCTTCTTTGCTGTGGCTCCCATCAGGCTGGACTTAGGGGCTCTCTAAGAGCAGGCAGGGCCTGGGGTCGCGGGAGGAGGCGCGTGCACGGAGTCAGGGGGGGCCCCAGCCGCGGGGCGCAGGCAGGCGGCACGTGAGCAAACCCACGGATCAGCGTCCCAGAGGCAACGTGTGTGCGCATTTAAATGTCGAGTAAGACTGAGAAGTCAGAAACGGCCCACTTCAGGTTAACAGGGTGGTTACGGGGTGGGCTGGGCATAGTGGGCAGAGGGTTTACTTTGTAAAATTACCTGAATTCAGTAAAACTTATACTTTTACTGTGAATAGCCTCTCTCTCTCTCTCTCTCTCTCTCTCTCTCTCTCTCACACACACACACACACACACACACAAAGCAAAGAGCCACCCAGGGAAGGCCATGAAGGCAGGCGGTGAGGGGCTCTTTCCTGGACACTGACGCCCACCACAGCAGGTGTGGCTGTCCAGCAGTGGCCAGCAGGTGACCGGGTGGCCCTGGTCAGGCCAGGGCTCTTCACCTGGCCTCCACTACACCGTCCACCCTGCCCTCCCACTTCACAGAGCCTCACCTCTCTGTAGTCCTTTCTGGGCTCCTCGTGTCTGGAGCTGGCAGATGCAGAGGAGAAGCTGGAGGTGGAGGACCCCTGGCTGATGGAATCCACGGGGCGCTGCGGAGGCTGCGCCGGGGCCTGCACCAAAGCGGCCCAACCAGAGAGGGCAGGAGAGAGTCAGAGAGCAGCCCTGGGGCTCTCACAGAGCCGCAAGC